GGGCCTTGCTCGAGTTTAGGGGTATCAGGGCTTAAGATTTAGGGCTTAGGGGTTTGTAGGGGGCTTCGGGATCCAAAGCATGGAACCTTGCAATATTCAATAATGTACAAGTAGATGGAGGGGGGAATCCAAAGCATGGAACCTCGCAGTAATGCCCCAATTTCCACAATGTAAAAGTAGCTGGAAGGGGGGTTCAGTTTTCGATCCTGTCGAAAAACCGACCAAACTGGAATAAATAAGGAAACCGATCGATCGCCTAAAAACCACCTTAAATATGCCCAATGTAGTAGCTGAGGGAATCCGCACAACCTACATACGACCTCCTTTCTTGAGGTGTTTCCTAGCTGACAATACAGAACCAAGATGCTCCCACTAAATGCCCATGATGCAGGCGCCCAAACAAACGGAATAAGGTTTCGGGGTACAGTATACAAGGGTTACGTAAGGGATATATCGAAACAACGTCAGTCATTATTTAGGCCTTCTGCGTTAAACACACTATAAACCAGCGTGGAACCAACGTCTCAACGTCACGTCTGGTCCGTTCGATTCTCCGTTATCGCGATCATACCCTATATACCTCTGTATACACCCAGATAACATAACCTCTTCGGAAGGACCTTGATCCAATCATTTAAGCTCCTAAGCTTTGAACAATGTACATAGAAGCTTGCATTGTCTTTTCCATGCTGCCCTTAGGGCTACCTAGGTTCAATCAAGGTTGATGAAAAAGGGCACTTAGGGGGGTAACATAGGAACAGCGATAGCAAAACCGTAAAGTCAGGGAACGCCTCTATACCCTAAACCATAACCCGCAAACCCTGGGGACAGCCCAATACATACGACGCAACACCACCTGCCCATGCTTTAGGCTCGATGGCTGGGGATGGAGGGTTCAAGGGGCCTATAGCGCAAGAAGGGTGGTATGGGGACCCATGATACCTAGCCCTAAGGGTTTAGGGTTTAGGGCTAAACCCTAAACCCCCCAGCCACCTCATAGCCCAGAAGAAGGTGGGTGCCATCCACACGCAGCTGAGCCGTCCGTGGCTTGGCAAGGCCACTAGCGAGAATCACTTCACCACAGTCCCAGGACTTGTTTCCTGGAAGGGTTGAGGGCTTACTTGGAGGGTCAGGAGGACTTAGTAAGTAGGCTAGTAATCCCTATAACCCATATAGTAACCCTAGTTCACTATTATAGACCTACGTACTTACTAATTCCCCATATAAGCTTCCAAGTAAGGTTGAGGGATGAGCTTAAGGTCTAGGGGTGCTAAACTTGGTTTAGGGTTTAGGGTTTGGGGTTTGGGACAGTGATAGTGGTCTTTGGGGGTCGTGAGGTTTAAGGCTCTTTGCCCAGAGAGCCTGTCCGTCTGCACCATGGTCAAGGTTTGGGCAACTTTCCAAAAGGTACCCACGCTAAACCCTAAACCCTAAGCCCTACACCCTAAACCCCAAGCCCTAAAACCTAAATCCTGTGCCCCTGAAAGTTGGGTATGCAGGCCCAGTGACACTTGTTCAAGGTTCATGCCTCATCAACATTCGGGTACACAAGGGGGTTATATAGGGATAATGGAAAAGAAAACGGAAACTACTGTTGAGGGCTTAGGGTTTAGGGATAGTGGAAAAGAAAGTGGAAACTACTATAGTATATATATATATATTAGGGTTATACAGGGGGTATATTGGGATAATGGAAAAGAAAATGGAAGCTACTACAACGGGGTTATACAGGGTTTAGGTTTACAGCTAGAATACTGACTAGTACCTAGCTTGAAGTACTTGCAGCCCTATGTAGAACTACGCATGGGCCCTGAAGTAAGGTTGGCATCGACTATGAAGGTCCCCAAACCCTAAACCCTAACACCTTGAACACAAAATAATCTAAACCAGAAAACTTAAGCCCTCGGTCCCAAAAACCTTAGCGCAAAACCCCAAGCCTAAAACCCTAGAAGCCCAAACCCTAAACCCTAAACCCTAATCCCTAAACACCTAAACCCTAAACCTGAGGGTACCCTCCTAAGGATCTTGTACTTAGCAACTTGCTCCTGTCCGAGAAGAGACCATCACCTGGCTCCAGGGAATCCGGTTTAGGTTTAGGGTTTAGGGTTCAGGGTTCAGAGTTTAGGCATAGAGTCTAGGTTAGATTTTTTCACAACGCTTCGGACTTTTTAGGGCTTAAGGTTCAGGGTTTAGGGTTCAGGGCTCAACCCTTCTGATCATGAATACGCTCCCTACTTTGTGAGACACCTTGGATTACAAACCCTAAACCCAAACCTATGGGTTCTATTCTACAGGGTTGCAACGGGCCTTCATGAAGGGGATATCATACACTGCTCAATTCCGGGATCCCTCAATGCGTTGTGAATCATGTGCTGCTATGTTGGGACCATTTATTATCAGAGGGCGGGGGGTTATGATTGGGGCAGCCTAAAAACCCTAAACCCTAGGGTTTAGGGTTTAGAATTTAGGCTGAAGCTGCAAGCATAGCCTCCAGGCGCACGCTAGCCTCAATCAAGGCCCACAACGGTTTCACAATTAGAAGCCGACAGCATGGCGCACATGTGCTTGGCCACCCTCCTAAAATCCCAAACCCTGGGGTTGGAGTTCTGGCTTCGTATTCAGGGTTGAGGGTTTATAGTCCCCCTTAAGTAGATAGAATGTGGCTCTGGGTATATTCTAATAAGATCCCCATAAACCCCATAGTCTATCTACTTAAGGGGGACTATACCCGAAACCCTAAGCCCTAAATCCTAAACCCTAAATCCTAAACATTCCTAAACCCTAAATCCTACACCCTAAATCCTAAACCTTAAATCCTAAACCCTAAATCCTAAACCCTAAATACTAAACCCTAAACCCTATAGGTCTGCGCATGCCTTGCTTCCCTACCATGTCATTGAGGCCTAGGTACTTGGGAAACTCCTGGGAGCCTTAGGGAGTCACAGGGAAAATTAGGGAGTTCTGGGGTTTAGAGATTATATGGGGTTACATTAGGGTTCTATTGGGATAATGGAAAACAAAATGGAAACTACTATTTAGGGTTTAGGGTTCAGGGGGTTAGGGTTTAGGGATTAGGGTTTAAGGTTGAGGGTCTAGGGAGGATTATTGGGCTACCTACCCCCTTTGGACCACCCTTACAACATCCTTTGATTGTGGTTTATGTGACGCCGCGCCTCAAAATGTGTCCCCTGCCCGCGCTGGATCTTCTGAACCGTGCTGTTGTATTGAATATACTTATTCTGCTCCTCTGCGAACTCCTGCAGGTACTCAACAAGAACAGACGCATGCGGGAAGAGTTCCTTGGACCTTGCCGTAACGGGCGGCGTGCGATTCTCTGCCGCCCGAACCTATGGAGAACTTGGAACCCTAGTAAAAATGATAATTTTTGCTATTCCTTAGGATTATAGTAAGCAAAAAACAAACCCTAAGGGTCCATGTACCCAATAATTAGGTACTTGGGATTTTGGTAATAGTAATTATAGTACAGATTGTGGGTAAGTATATGATTATTGGGTATTTGGACCCTTAGGGAAAAAGTAAGAAGCAAAAACAAAATCCCTAAAACCTAAACCCTATTTTCAAGTACCCCTAAGGAACATCGATCAAGGTGTTCCAGTCGTGGCGGAAGGCAAAATCATCACTACGACCTTCCCGAACTTTCCTAGGTTGCCGAGGGTTCAGGGTTTTAGAGGTTTAGGGGTTTAGGGCTTTAGGGGTTTAGGGCTTTAGGGTTTGCAAAGAGGACAGTAAGGAACCATAGTGGCTTGCCTTCAAAAGGGTTATAGGGGCTATGTAGGGGTTGTATGGTTTGTAGCGTTAAGCTACAATATAAAGGAGTCATATGGAAAAAACATGAACATGAAATAAGAACTGGGGTTCTGCAGGGATTTTGGAATAAGGTAGGTCATCAGAATTTGCTATACAAACCCAATTCTGTTTGTGGACTGTGGAAACTTGACTTAAACTTACTGGTTGTTTGTAAGGAATAAGGGAGTATAACCCCTTACATAATGCATTCTCTTATTCTCTACTAAGAACCAATCAGTAAATTCCTTGACGGCAACCCAGTCTCCTCTTGTTCAAGGAAATCAATTTGCGATGCCTGGGATAATGCTCGAAGAAGCTTCCAGCTCGCGGTTGCTTCTCAAAAATCCTGAGTTGTCCATTCTCCAGGGATTTCCCAAGGTTATAGTCCCCTTAAGTAGATAGAATATGGGGTATATCGGGATCCTTTTGAAATATACCCAAAGCCATATTCTATCTACTTAAAGGGGAGGCTTTATTCCCCCCAAGGGTTAGCGATTAACCGCTGGGCAGCTAAGAATCACGTAGTCACGGCCTGCATGCAGGAAGAAATGGCCCAGCTGGACGCCAGCAGGACCGCCCCCGATGATGCAGTATTGTCTTGAAAGATCTTCAGCGCAACTCAGAAGCAGGGTGGCAGCCAATAACCGTAAAGCCAACCACATGGGAACACAGCAAGATAGATGGTTTTGGAGTCAGACAGCTGCGAACGAAGCCGAAGACCGGCGCACAAACTGGCAAATGCAAATAAAGCACAGGATACTTGGATTGTTGTTTTTGCTGGTTGAACCCAGCAAAAAACACTGTTCACATAGAGGTTCGTGTGGCTAGCAGGCGGGCAACCAGACGGATGTAGGATCGGAAGCCCTGGTTTCGTCTAGTAACTAGTAAGTAGTAATAATGGTAATAATAGTATGGATAATAGTAGTAATTATAGTCATAATAATATTAATCCAGCAGCATCCCAACCCGTAGCCTCGCTACACCTGTGCATTGATGGACAAAGCATCCGATGGTATCTGTGAAATATCGGGTCTCGGCACTTGGAACACAAATTTGATTGTATAGTCCTCCTTAAGTTAATTAATATGCTTTGGGCGTATTATGCTAGGATCCCCATATACCCCATATTCTATCTACTTAAGGGGTACTGCAGTCCAGCCTAGCAATACTTGATCTTTTTAAGCGTTGGTAATTCTCCAATGTATGAATGGAAGCCCCTGTCAAGCTTAGCCTTCCCCAGTGTACCGTCACACCGGCACCTGGACACCCAGGCAGAGGCATGAAAATCCAACAAACCTTACATCCTCTTTCGCAGGCTCTACCATTCCGTAGCTCACCCGTGCTCAGTACGTAACGGTGATTCCCTAAATCCTAGATCCTAAACCCTAAATCTTATTCCCTGAATCCTATACACTAAACTCTAAAGCCCCTAATCCCTAATCCATTCATTCCATTCCTTCATGCCAAGCCCTGTCCCATGAAACCCTACACCCCCAGATAGTGGTTCAGGGTTTTAAGGTTTAAGATTTAGGGTTTGCATTCTTTCATTCCCTAGCCTAAGCCAATATTTAGGGCCTAGGATTTAGGGTTTAGGGTTCAGGATTGAGGGTTGAGGGGGGCTAGTAACCCCCTTGGAGCCTTACCTTGAACTGTAAATCCTAAACCCTGAATACCTAGACCCTAAAAGTATGTAAAATAATTGCCTTTAGGGCTATTATTATGGGTTTAAGGCTATTAGTTTACATATTTTGGGGGTTTAGGTTGTGGGCTACCACCCTTAACCCTAAACCCTAAACTCACCAAGGCATAAACTTCCGGCTCTTTTGGAACAATTTCAGAACCTTAGCATCCCCTTAACAGGGTTCTAATAAAGGTGATACAGGAACATATAGGGGTTAAATAGGGCTTATATGTAAGGAGATAGGGGGTCATATGGAGGTTATTAAGCCATAGCACATCAGAACGGAAACTAAACAAACTTGCGGCTGCTTTCTTAAGTGTCACCACTTTAGGCGAGGAAAGGTGACGTCATTAAACCTTGAACCTCAACCGTGAACTCTAAACCCCGAGGCCCGTATAAACTTACCATTGCTTTGGGTTCTCAAGCTTCCTTAATCGCAAAAGTTCCCAACAAATCAACGTCAAAATGACCACACACACCACCCCCCCCCCGCTAAAAAAGAAAAAAACACACACACACACACAACCTAAGTAATGGTGCTAAATACCTAAACCGTGTGACTAAGCGTGGAACCAGCATCAGGATCCGACGAGGCTCGGCACTGCGACTAGCACCGCCTTGGAGGAACTAGGGTCATTTAGAGATACATAAGGACTAAATAGAGGCATGTAGGGATACGTAGGGATAAGATGGGCTTATATAGGGATACACAGGGATCAGATGGGCTCTAGTAGGGATACATGGGGATGAGATAGGGCTATATACGGATGTAGACCGCTTAGGGTTAGGGTTGAAGTGTGATTTTTGCCAGGCGTGGAGTCAAATAGGCGAGTAATTGCGTTTGTGTAAGGCTCATAGAAGGCTCGTATAGGGAGACTAAGAGGTAGATAAAGGCCATGTAGAAGAATGCCCAGCTGAAATTTCCTTAGCTGCCTCGTGTTTTGTGATACTAGACTTGCTTGACTTCTGGGAATGCAGGGGGCGCACGCTTTCAGATATTGCCTGAACCTGAAGAATAGGAACTGAGTATATGGAACCGTTAGTAGTGAAGCCTTACGTAATTACATTATGATGAACACACAACAATGGGCTTTAGTATCTCTATTCATAAGCGCTCCACCTGCCGTCGATTACGGCGGTAGGGCAACATATCCCCAATTCAGGGTACTAGGAGGTTCTTGGTCTATTGGCTCGGAAAACGCTACTCCTGAACCCTACATCGACACTGATTTGCAAGGATTCCTTCTCCATTTGTAGGTCTGGTCGCAGTTGCTCTCCTGCAGGACGAACTGGCTATTGCTTCAGTTGCCCTAAACCCTAAATTCCAAAAACGGGGGCACCCAGCTTCCCAGGGATAGATTATAGAAATAGGAAGATAGAGAGATAGATAGATAGATAGATAGATTAGATTAGATTAGAATAGATAGATAGATAGATAGATTAGATTAGATAGATAGATAGACAGGTAGATAGACCGACCTTGATGAAAGATCCCTATACTGTTGTATTTTCCTGCCATGAACTTGAAAATCCAAAAAATCTAAAACCAGAACCCAAAACTCCAAACCCTAAACCCTAAACACTACGGCTGCAATTATCACGAACAGTCTGGGTTGCTACCAAGGAACTTCAAGTAGGGTACTGTAACAAGCCCTAGGGGGTTTAGGGTTTAGTCCAAATAGCCCAAAGCAGGTACTATTCAGAGACTATAGGGCCAAAGTAGGTATTATTCATAGACTTGGATCCTCATGAAGTCCCTTCGGTTGCATTGTATCTATGCTCTGGTGACTTCATTTGAGCTCTTGACAGGCTGAGCAACCCAGAAGTAGCAATGGGGCAGCTTTCCGCTATGTTCACCGCGCGTCCGTCGAAAATTGGAGTCTTTCATACAGTGGGCGGCACCCACTTGCACATCTGTACAGCAACTAAAGGCAAATGCCTGGTGCACATGCAGATTGCGGTGCTACAAATCTCCTACAAATCTCTGAAGATCATCATGTACATGAAAGCAATATGCTGAAAATGCGTGACGCTAGAGCTTGCCACGCTCCCTTTTGCTTTGGAATTGCCCTCAAAGGGTGGGCGTGTCGAGGCCAATCTGATCGATTCCGTCCTCATCATCGCCGCAAACGCAGTACTAATGTGGCTAGACCCTCACTTACTCAAGCCAAATCTATCTGCGAAGAAGCAACGTCTTGCATTGTTTTGAGAAGCTTTTGAGGTTTGAGCATCGGGGCAGAACAATTCCAGATTGTTGACGTCGGCTTTGCATCATGAAAGTTGCTAGTCATGTGAAGCTGGAAAGTTGGCATGCGTGTTGTCACCACAGTGCGCAGTGTTTCGTGCTGTTCCGAGGATGGTGCGTCCTGAAGGAATACGCAATTGTTTGTTCCCGTTGCGGAGGGCCGAAATTTCTGATGTTATGTGTTTCTGCTTGAAGCTACTGCTCTGGCCACCGTCTGCTCTTGGAACACGAACGTTATCAAGGGTTGGGCATGGATGCTCTGGTTACCGTATGCTCTTGGAACGCGAAGGGAATTATGCTTTGGGCATGGCTGCTCTGGTCACCGTATGCTCTTGGAATACGAACGGAATTATGGTTTGGGCATGGCTGCTCTGGTGACCGCATGCTCTTGGAACACGAACGGAATTCCGCTTTGAGCATGGCTGCTCTGGTCACTGTATGCTCTTGGAACACGAACCTTATTATGGTTCGGGCATGGATGCTCTGGTCACCGTATGCTGTTCGAACATGAATGTTACCTGGCTCTTGGAAAAGGATCTGTCGAAATCGAGGAACGTCAACGTCTCATGGCCCGTTCGAATCGAACCGCAATGAAGCGAGACAGCGGATGCTTTTGACAACGGATAACTTCCGGGCAAATGCCCAGGGCGCAGCCCGAATCTAGTTCACGCAACCTTGGTAACTAGTGCTTTCTTGGTTCTTGGACTGAAGCTCAATAGCTTACAACATGCTACAACCAAAAGGGAAGACAATCTTCTTTACTCTACACTGGGAACTCCTGTATGTCCTCTGCAAACCCTACACCCTAAACCCTATATAAGCCCATTCTAGAACTTTCCATGTTCTTTTCCAACTATCCCAA